TCTTTTCCTCAACCTTGAAGAGACGCGAGGAGTTTAGAATAGAATAATATAATAATCTCTTGACGATTTATATCAGAAATAATTTTGGCGATTCTATATTAGAAATCATTTTGACGATTCTAAAGGATGTCCCGAAATTAGATAGACAAGCTTCGAGTGCTTGTAAAAGACACCAAAACAAGTAATTTTGGCCAATAAACTCATTTCCGCAAATGAGCCGTTTTCGCACTAAAGTGAATTATTTACAGCAACTGTTCGAAGTATCGTTCTATTTACTTCAATATTAACAATTTTCTTCCTGCCCCTAGTTTTTGTTGCTATCTCTTGATACGAAACATTAGTAAGAATCGCTTTACTAAATTGAAGATTGTTGGAAATTTTCAAACAGGTGGAATTAGTATTGTTTGTTGTTGACTTACAAGTTCAGTGTCACAACGTTTCTTTAATTCTAATTTCGAGACAGCCCGTATAATAAAAATATTTTGACGATTCCTTCACTCTATTCTCGAGGGATTTCAAGGTTACAGATCCAAATAGATCGCTATAGTTGTATCGCTTTAATGTCATCTCGGAGATTATCGTTAAGCCTAATAGCGTGACAGCGATAGGTGCGTTTCCGCCCTCCGCGTTAAAAGTGCCATCGGCTGTAAATGTTCAGTTCAGTTTCATAATCCTGCGCGCCGAGCGATCTCCACGCGATTATCGTCAGCATAACGGCACCGTCGCAAATCCAAGTCTTATAAAAATTACAGACGGTCGATAACAGATACTGTCTATACGCAAAGCGAGCGAGCGAGCGAGCGAGCGAGAGAGAGAGAGAGAGAGAGCGCTCGCGTGTATGCATCGATCCGATCAATTTATTATATCGTCGTAAAATATTTATGGGACGATTCAATCAACGTTCACGCTGGACTATCCACGAGAACGAGGCAGACCTCACAAACGGACGACAATTTAATTCCGATATACCAAAAAAAGGAAAAAGAAAATTACTTCGTGCGAGGTATCGTGAGGAATAATTAATAGAACATCGCCAAGCTTGGCCATAAATAAAATGCGGAGAATCCCAGAGTGGTTTTGCTCGAGTCGTCGAAATCGTCCGATTGTACATCACCCCTCCCCCTCAGTTCAAGCACAAAGGGGGTCGCGGCTGGAATCCCATTTTCCACGTTCAGAGAAAACTCCAACACATGTCACTGTAAATCATTCTCGTTCTTTGTCCCGTTGCGGCGGCGGGTGCGAGCGTTAAGATTCGACGGTTCATACGCGAGATAAATCTAATCCCAAGGAAGCTCCCAGTGTGTGTCCGGGATGTGAACGAGATGGGGTGTGCGGCTTAAATAAGAGAGATCTGTGCGGGAGATAAGGACGTTCGGGGGGAATGGGCTGTAGCGTACAAATATTTCTCTATTGCTATCGGATTTGGTTTCGAGCTGATAAAGCGACGGTCTCTCCCTTTCTCTCTTCCCTTCATTCTCTAGCGAATCGACATCGCTTGAATCTCCAGAGGCGAATCTCGAAATTAAACGAACGTTTCGCAATTTCGCATTTCCGGAATTATAATGGGGCTTTCGGTTCTCATTAAGGTTGCTACACTAACATTGCGATATTTCGCGAGAAATTCGAACGAATCTTTCGCTTCCTCGATCTTACCAAGGGTACCACGTTAGCGCCGCGATTTCGAGAGAGATTAAAACGAATCTCTCCGCTTCCCACGCTTTTAAGAAGAACAATTCGATTTAATTTTCAGCCACCTTTACCGTTGCGACCGAGCCGTGCTCGTATGCCGCGGTTATTAGACTCGGCGCGCGTGGAAAATTATCCGGGCTCCGCGGAACCCGCCTTTTTCGCTTTTGAGCTCGCCGTCCAATCCTCCGCATCAATCTCGGCGTGTTCATTAGCCGTAGGGGTTACAACGCCGCACGCTCCGGCCGCGATGTAAACATTCGCCATTCATCGCGCGCCTTCTCCCGAGTCGACCGGCGAGAACTCGATGGAATTAAAGCAAACATTTGCGTAGGCACGGAAAAGAAACTATATTACGATTACTATATCTGCTCCCCCCCCCCCCCCCCCC